ACAGATTGAGATGTGATATAGGCCTCGACATAGGCTTCCCGGACCAATGCTGCTCCAACGAGAACTACTGCTACGTCAAGCCGAACGGGAATCCGTGGTGCTGCCAGATCGGCTCCAACTGCGACTCAAAATGCTCCGCCTCGCAGTTCCAATGCACCAACGTCGTCACCGTCACGATAACGCCCACCAGCAACGGCAACCCGACGGTCACGTCCTCCACCGGGTCCGCCTGCTGCTACCGCGGCTGCCCCTCGACCTCCAACTTCCGCTGCGCAGACCGATTCGGCGGCGGCTGCTGTCCCTACGGCAACACCTGCGCCTCGTCCAAGCAGTGCATCCAGACCATCTCCGCCACGCCGTCCTCCACCGCCGGCGGCCTCACCCCCGCGGACCCGGGCTGCACGGCCACCACCCAGCACGCCTGCGCCGACGGCCAGGGCTGCTGCGACGACCTCATGCACTGCACCAGCGTCTCCGGCACCGCCGCCTGCGCGCCGGGGAACCCCACCGCCACGGACGTGACGTACGACCCGAACAGCAGCGGCGGAAGCGGCGGCTTGTCAGCGGGCGCCAAGGCGGGCATCGGCGTGGGCGTGTCTGTCGTCGGTCTCGCGCTGGTCGGCGTCCTCGCGTGGTTCTGCCTCGTCCGCCGCCGCCGCCGCCGCGGGGCGACCACCATGACGGCCTCATCCCAGCGCAGCGGCGGCGGCGGCGGCGGCGGCGGGCTGAGCAACGTCATCGGCGGGGGAGCAGCGTCCTCGCGGCCAGGACGCAGCGCGCGCGCCATGTCGGAGGTGACATCCGGCTCGCGGCCGACGGCGCGCCGCGGCGCGACGCAGGATTACTTCGGCCCGGACGCCGTAGCGGGGCCGTACACGGAGACGGAGACGGTGGCGTCCGCCGAGGGGGCAGCGACGGTGGCGTCGTCGCCGGGCCGGCACCGCGGCGTGCCGCTGCAGGCGCACTCGCCGAGCGACGTCGTCGCGCCGGTGGAGATTGACTCGCGTGTGAAGAGGGGGGCGCCGGCCGCGGTCACGTCTGTGTCGCAGCAGGCGTTGGCTCCGTCCTCGCCGCCGACGACGGAGGGGCGGTTCGAGCTGTACGGGAGCGAGATGCCGAGCCCGACGTCGCCGGGGATGCCGTCGCCGCCGCTGATGACGCCGAGCGCGAGGAGCGTTAGTATGATGGAGAGGTCGCCGATCGATAGGTCGCCTGGACCGGCGCCGAGCCCGGAACCACGGCGGCGGTGAGAAGGTTTGAGGAACTGAGTGACGCTGTGTGTTTTCTCTCTGTTCTCGTGTTCATATCTGTCTTCTTGAGACGCCTGAATTGAAGTAATAAACGAGCGACGGTACATGTTTTGTTACACAGATTCCCGATGCCTTCGGGAATTCTCTCTCTTGTAAGAATACTTATTATGCGATGAGGAGTGGTGGGAAACCTTTTTTGTGTGAAGAGCAACTCCGCCTGACCGACCGTTTCCTTGGAGAAAAATAACAAAAGACGATAGACATTGATCCTTCGTGTCGCATCCCTGCCCTCCGCGAACGCCAAACAGTATGAAGGATGAAAATGAAGACTGGAAGAAGCGATGATGAACGCATGCGAGTCTAATAAAAAAATGAGGAAAGCAGAAGGAGCCCGATGACAACCAGAAACACCAAACACGAGACACCGATCCCCTTCAGAAGTTGTATGCACACACATGGCTCAGCAAACGACACCGCCAAAGGGCGTGCACGTCCGCAGATCCTTGACCAGGTCCTCGACGCTGCTGAGATGGCGGCCCAGCAGCTCCTGCTTCTCCTCCGTGGTCAGGGTGTCGGCGGACTCGCTGCCGGCGCGACTCCGTGCGTAGTGCTGGGCGTCCGAGGCGGTTGAGTTGCCGCCCGCGAAGGCGCCGGCGAGCTTGCTGGGGCTGCGCTGGTGGATCGCGGGGACGGAGGCGCGGGCGTCGGCGCGCGGGATAGAGGGGACCTCGGGCATGAGGTAGAAGTAGAGGAACTCGACGAGCTTGAGCTTGACCTCGCGGGCGGTGGAGCGGGACTTGAAGAGGGAGGTGACGGTGAGGAGGCCGTCGAGGGCCTCGAAGGTGCGCGTGTTCAGGGGGGTGTCGATGAGAGCGACGACGAGGACGAGAAGAGTCGCGGATTGGATGGCCGGGCAGTTGACGGGTTCGAGGAGGTCAAGAAGGAGCTGCGGGATGGAGTCAGTTTGCGAAAACTTGGAGGAGCCTTTGATGTCAAACGCACGTTCATGTTTTGTTCTCTCGAGAAGAGTGCCTTGCTTGGTGGGTGGAGGAGTAGGACGCCTTGGATCAGATCCAGCGAGCTGAGGATGAGAAGGTCATTCTGGCCATCGGTACCCTTGCCCATGAGGCGGTCAAGGGTGTTGATAAGGCGCAAGGCGACGTTCCACTCGAAACCCTCCTGCAGCTTGAAGAACTCGCGGAAGGCCAGGTCGTCGGACAGGTCGGACAGAGACTTGCCGCTCGACCGGGCGGACTCATCGTCAGTCGCCGGCGACTTTGATGACCTTGACGGCGCTGAGAGGCAGATCTGGGCGAGGAGGCCTTCTACCTGGCGCAGGCCCTTGCGGACCTTGGGGCCGTCGTAGGAGGAGAGGGAGTCGAAGGCGAGGCTGAGAAGGTTCTCCATGTTTGAATATCGGTGGTCGTGACGATGTTTGGGAGGAGGCCGCCGTGGCTTGGTGGCTGATTTGCTGTGGTGGACGGGGTCGGTCTCGAGCGCGCGGAACGGACTGAACAAAAGAGACGATGCGATTATCTGTCGGTGCGATTATCGATAACAAGTGAGTGACGCCGGACTGGGATCGGAGTCTGACGGCAGCAACAGCACACCGAAAGTTGATAATGCAGAAAAACAACAAGAACAAAAACCGACGAGAACACAAGTCCTCTGGGGGTTGTGGGGGTATCACGATCGGATGACTGGAAAGTGCCGGAAGGGGGAAAAAAGAAGAAGGAAGAAGCGCACAAGGTGATGGATCGCGCGGCGCAAGTAATAAGCATATGAGAGAGACAGCAGCGGCAGCGACAAGGACGTCGGTAGCTGATTGCCGTGTGGACAGGTGTGGATGTTTGTGTTGCGACCCGACGATTAATGCCCCGGCAACCGGGTCGATCTCCAAGGCGTTGGGATGGGGATTTAGCGTGGCCCTGAAGAGGAAAGCGAGCATCTGTTTGGCCCAAACGGCGTGACCACACACCGTTAGCTACGAATAAGCGGGTCGATCACCGTAGGCACCTCTGCGTTGGCGCATTGCGGGGGCCCGGCCCGGCATTCAAGCTTGGGATTTCAGGGTCAAGGTCTTTTGTTGTTTGTCGCTGCTACCTTGCCGTTTGGCTTTGTTCTGGGCAGGCGATTAGGTATTAAGATAAGAATAAGCGAGTTCTTTTTTTGAGCACTCGAGCTTGCTTACCTTGCCGTGTAACAGCTGCCCTCTGCCCTCGGTATGTCTGCTGCGATCTTCGGAGACTACCCAGGCCAGCCACCTGTCCACGGGTATTATCAAACGGCCTTGGTTCTGCAGGAGGCGTTGGTTTGTCGCAGCAGCAGCGGGTGCTTAAGAGCGGCACATATGGCAGATGAAACCTGACGGCGCGAGGGGATGGCACATTTCAGCGTCTTGGAATCCACGTTGGCAGCGACCAACCACGGCGACATCGCGACCCGGTTGGCAGGATGCGAGGTGAAGGCATGAACAACAGCAGGGCAGGGCACACCAGGAGGGGTTCATCGGAGTGTTTTACGTGCCATCCGAGAGTGCTTAGCGGAAGTTGAGGCTAGCGACTATGCCTTCTAGAAGCCCAGTCCCGTCTAATGCGTACGTCTGGCGTCTGTCTGTCTCCCTCCTCCCGCCGCAGCCGCCGCTTCTTAAGACGAAGCCTTCGCACGAACCTCGTGCTGTCTTCACTAGCCGTAGCTCTTGTCTCTGCCCTTTTCCTACTACACCTCTGCGCAGACAGTTCACTTCACCGAAGCAGCCTCCCGAACAACCCGATTTTTATCCATATCCCGACTTTTGCCAACTCAATCTTCACCCCTCGCATTTCGGAGCAAAGTCCGCCATTTCCTCTGGATTTCGGCCTCTACGAAACCCCGACCCTAGCTGAAAGCTGCCGCCTGCGAATTGATGACGTCTGCCAGATTCCGCCCCAACCCAAAGTCCAACATCTCCCCACAATCAATCGATAAGAGCTCCAACAACGCGGCAGGTCCCATCAACACCTGCAACTGCTGCTGCATGTTCAAGGTCGGTTAGCTGCAGTTTGTTGGCATGTGATTGCTCATTCGCTCTCTTGCCTGTTTTCATTGCGTCTGCCTACAGATACAGGACTTGCCAGGACTGCTAGCCAGGACTGCTAGCCAGGACTGAGCTGCCTGGCCCGATTCTCCAGCGGAAAGCTTCAACAAAGCAAGGATCAGTGATCCGGCTGCTTCATCCCTTTGCTCCAACCCTGGCTCTCCCTACCTTACAACAACGCAAGTCCTCTGCACAAAGTCATGACGGCCTACATCCCATTTACCCCTGCCAAAGGACACCATGCAGGCGGACAAATACGGCTTTTCCAAGCAAAAGGAACGATACGTGCATACGCGGACAAGCAGAAATCCCCACCTCCCAACAAATCAGACCTCCTACCGGGGTACGGGAAAAAAACAGCTGCCCACCAGCTTGGATGAACAGAGTGGTGACGTTGACACGAGCTGACCAACAGCGAACAGCATAACCACCGCCGGCTGACCACCACCACCACCACCACTACCACGACCGATCCCACCTCCTCCGCAGCCCACGGGGGAAAAGAGCTCCACCAAGCTACCCACCACGCGAGCTCTGGCGAGCTCCGGCCCGTGGTAGAAGCTACTGCTGTTTCTCCTGCGGCTGCCACGGCGGCTGTTCCAGATCCAGGCGCCGCCACCCATAAGAAGCCACGCATCTTCCGGTCCGCCTTTGCAAAGAGGCTCCCTTTCACGATGGGCGTGCCTAACGACAACTCTCCAACAAGCGACCCAGGCACCAAACCCTCGGATCCTTCAAATAACCCCTCCTTCCCCTCCTCTCCGCCAAACGCCATACCCCCACGCAGATCTTCAACGAGCCACTCGTCCTCTTCCTCAACAACTGCCGCCGCCGCGACGGTTCCCACCTCTCTATCTGCCCAAGCCACGGCGTCTGTGCCGACGACATCGTCCAAGGCACCCCTCCGCACCGTCCCCGAAACCGACTGGCTCAACCGCGCCGCCTCCGTCAGCTCCCGCACCCACAAGCACTCCCATTCTTCCTCCTTCCACCGCCGCCGTCCCTCCGGCGCACTCACGACAACCTCCTTCACCGTCACGATGCAGCCTCCTCCGCCCCCCGACCCCTCGCGCTATGCGACCGCCGACCTCAACTTCACTCGCAAGGCCTGGCCCGAGGAGAAGGACAAGGTCATCACCGGCCCCTTCGACTACCTCTTCGCCCATCCGGGCAAGGACTTCCGCGCCCAGCTTATTCAGGCCTTCAACATCTTCCTCGATGTCCCCCAGTCCAGCCTCGACGTCATCACAAACGTCGTCGGCATGCTCCACACGGCCTCCCTTCTCATCGACGACGTCGAGGACTCGTCCTCCCTGCGCCGCGGCCTGCCCGTCGCCCACAACATCTTTGGTGTGGCCCAGACCATCAACTCGGCCAACTACATTTACTTTTGCGCTCTGCAGGAGGTCCAGAAGCTTAAGAACTCCAAGGCAATCTCCATCTTTGCGGAAGAGCTCGTCCACCTGCACCGCGGCCAGGGCATGGATCTCTTCTGGCGCGACACCCTCACCTGTCCCACCGAGGAGGACTACCTCGAGATGGTCGGCAACAAGACGGGCGGCCTCTTCCGCCTCGGCATCAAGCTCATGCAGGCCGAGTCTCGCAGCCTCACGGATTGCGTCGACCTCGTCAACATCATGGGCCTCATCTTCCAGATCCGCGATGACTACATGAACCTCTCCAGCCAGGAGTACTCGGACAATAAGGGCATGTGCGAGGACCTGACGGAGGGAAAGTTCAGCTTCCCCATCATCCATAGCATCCGCTCCGACCCCTCCGACCTGAAGCTCATCAACATCCTCGGCCAGAAGACGAACGACGTCGAGGTCAAGCGCTACGCCGTGTCGCGCATGGAGAGCACCGGTAGCTTCGACTACACGAAGCAGGTTGTCGGCGTGCTCATCGCCCGCGGCCGGAAGCTGGCCGACGACATTGACGAGGGACGGGGCCTGAACAAGGGCATCCACATGATTCTGGACAAGATGATCATCTGAGCACTTTTGTCTCATTGAAGAGATAAATCAGGGGCTTTTGGGGGTTTAGAATTGGGAACGTCATACCCGGGGGTTTATGTCACGGAGCATTGGTCTGTGAAGGGTAAACCCGGTGTGTTTGCCTCGCATACTTTCCTCGCCCCTCTTAGTGTTGTTCAGGGTGGGGGAGAAACCACAGGATGGCATTTTCTTGGTGTTACAGAGAATCCCGGCTGGCACGCCGGACGGCTGCATTTAGACTTGGACCTGGGATTTAGGCAGTTACAGACATGCGCAGACGCGTGATGGGGGTAATGATTCCCACAGCGTCTGTGTTTATGGAAATGAACTTTTATGATGAGACGATTCCTCAATAGCATGCAATAGCCCGGCGTGATAATGAAGGAAACGAAGTGGGATCATGTCATCAAAATCACTGGGTAAACGAGGTTTATTTGGGAATATGTTCATGTTATTCATCATCATATAATACAATACCAACCGACTCGTTGGCTCATCACGCACGCAAAAACACCCGTAACACTACACTCATCACGCAAGGCTTGTCGTGGCTCTCCTCTTGACGAGCCGAACCCACCTCCGCCTCCTCCACTCGCCCCTGCGCCCGGTGCCGTCCTCGCCCTCCTCCCAGCTCAGCGTCGGCGCCGCGGGCACCCTCGCCTTGCCCTTGGCCGTGGTGGGCGAGTCCATGACGCCGCCCGAGAAGTTCGAGTTCTCGTCGTACATGTCGTAGACCCAGCGCTCGCCCTCCGTCTCGACCTCAACGCCCGTGATGATACGCTCCTCGACCCACTCCCTGCTCCAAAGATCCAGCGCCCACTTCTTCTCGGACCACTCCCACCCGTCGGGCGGCAGGACGTCCTCGAAGAAGCGCGTGCCGCGGGGCCGCTCGCCCGCGATGCGCGGCTGGGAGAGCGGGTCGTACGGCGATGGGGAGAAGAGCCAGGGCTCCCACTCGTCGTGGGACTGGCGCTGCAGCTCAAAGATCTCGACCTCGCGGGTCTCGGGGGCCGAGTCGAGGATGATGTCGGCGGCGATCCAGGCCTCGACGCTCGAGCGGGCGAGGGGTTGGTGCGGGGCGACGTGGGTGTCGTGGGTGTGCGTGAGGAGCGGGGCGATGGCCGGGTGGCCGGAGAGGATGAGGCCCCAGCCTGCGACGAGGGCGATGAGGCGCCAGGGGAAGACGGAGGCGAAGGTGGTCATGAAGACTGTGGTGAGGGTCAGGGCGAGGAAGAGCGCCGAGGAGAGGGCTTCGTTGGAGAAGTTTGTGATGGGGAGGACGCTCGAGACGACGCTGTCGTGGGCGACGCAGAAGTCGTCCATCGAATTCTGGAGGTCGCGCATGTTGCGGAAGAAGTCCTTGCTGAGCTCCTTGACCGGCTTGACGGTGCGCGCGGGTGCGAGCGGCGGGCCTTTTGGGGAGTAGCCGACGGACTGTTCGGAGGAGAGGGTGCCGGAAGGCGGCGCCGGGTGGCGGGCGAGGAAATGGGGGATGAAGACTGCGAGTAGAAAGCCGGCGAGGGGGACGACTGCCAGGAGGTACGGGTCCAGGCAGACGAAGGTGTAGACGGCGAGGAGGGAAAGTGTGTGTGTCGGACGGCGCCAGCTCAGCAGGCGGACAACGCGGGCTTGGAACTTGAAGACCACGCCGATGCGGGCGTTGAAGCGGCGGAAGTTGTTGGACATTGTCGTGATGTTGAAGTTTGGTCGCTGGGAGAAGGTTGAGGTCTTGTCCGCGGGGAAGCCCGGGGCCAGAGTGTCGTCGCCGCCGGTGAGGCCATCGGAGCTCTCGGGAATGACTTGCTGAAGGAGTCTAACAGTGTCAGTGTGCCATTCTCGAAGAACCAACTTCTCCATGAAGACTTACCTTTCAACCAGGCGATCCTGAATGCTCGTCTTCTTGCTGAGATTGTTCGCGATGCGCGAGCGCAGGCCGGACGGCGATTTCTTGGACGGGGTGGTGTCGTTGGCGTCGGAGTCCTGGGGCCATTCGTCTACGACGACGGTCGGAGGCGGCTGCCGCTGCTGCGGCGGCGAGCTGTCGGAAGTATCATCGCGGGAGATGAACAAGTCGGCCGTGTATTCGTCCATGGTCACCGGTGCCGATGCCGTGACCGCAAGGATGCCGTTGGTGGGTGTAGACGGTGCGAGGCGGGATGCGCCAGCGCGTGTTTCGTTTGCTCGGTGTTTGACGTTCTGAGGGGTCACGTCATCGTCCGGCGGCAGGCAGGCAGCTGCCCAGCGTGCACAGCTGTTGTCCTCGAAGGTGTGCTCTGACGGTGCGCCGAAACTTGCGTAACCTGCAACTCGTGTCTTTTTCGTCGGCGTTTTCCAACCTGAGCGTCAAAGTTGGAGCGCCTGGGTTGGGGATGGAGCCGTGTGATGCGGATGAGCTGCTCCGGGGTAGGTTGCTGGCTGCAGGCAGAAGAGCTTCCCCAGCTGCATGTGATGAAGACATGAGGTGGGTGTGGGTGCTGCTGGGTCCGGCGGCAGCGGCCTCCTGGAGCGGAGTCTGCGGCAGTCGATTGGCATTGGCAGTTTGCGGCGGTTGACATCACATGCGGCCAGCACCAGCACCAACCAACGTGAGCTCAGGCCTGAGCTGCTGCACCTGCCACCGTAGGTAAGCTGCATGCCATCCAGTGTCAGTCTTTTTCATGAGAGATGTCGCAGCAGTTGCACGCATCAGACTGTGTCTAGCAGACGCTGGCATTCAACGGCAGCGCCTACATGACGGATACCAGTGCTTGCGTCAAGCATCATGCACTTCCTCAAGCTCACCAGTTTCCGCATCCGCGACCAAATACCCAGACGAGGATGTTGGTGTCACCCACTGCCAGTATGAATAATTAACCCCAAATAGGACGTTGGCGTAGGACGGGTGTGGCTGACGAATTGGAGGGGATGCACCACGAGATCTGGCGGCGGGGTGTGGCCGATTGTTGAGCAGATCTCCGCTGAAGATGGCCCTCCATCTCAAATTACAGCGCCATTGCCATCCGAAGACACAAGACGATTGGCAGTCTTGCCCTTACGTGACGGAAATCGGCAGTTTCAGCCTCTGAGGCAATTGAAATACTTGGTCGTAGAGGTTGCAACCATTCCGTCTCTGTAAATCTTAGTTGTTCATAAGGTACTGTCAACTGATTAGATAATTAGAATGAATCGACAAAGCCCTTCGCCGTGAAATCGCGATATGACCCCCCATAGCCAACACGGGCTGGGAAATTGCGCCTGCTCCTAGGCCGGTTCTCAAGTTGGCTAGTGTTTGCTTGGTAGCACGTGCACTGGGGGTTGAAGGAATAAAGAAGCGTGGAGAATGCCTCTTTGACAGCCCGGCGTCTTCGACATGACAAGAGGAGGGCTTGAAAGGCACCACGGAAGAGGGCAAACGCCACGCTAGAAGAGAAGGAGGCATCCGCCGACAACTGCTCGGGCCCCGTTATGGGCTTGCCCGGCCGCATGCCAGTCTAAGTCGATCGGGCGAAGGCTCATCGCTTCAACGCGGCGGACAGGAGTCCCCAGAGTTGCTCAAGAACAATGGCCTGCCGTAAGAGACGCTCCATCGCCTCAGGGTATGCGTGACACAGAAGCCAGCGACTCTTCGTTGGGTTGAAGCTGCAGAAGCTGGGGTCCTGCTGTAGCCCGCGCTCTCTGCTGGAATGGAGCCAGTTTGCTAGTGTTTCCCCTGGCTAAAAAGGGAAGCAGATCGCTGCGGCCGGAGCTTCTGCATACTGGCAAGAAGTACCTCTTAACGCTTTTGACATGGACCGTGACGGGTGATTGTCTAGACCAGACCGGACCGCAGACGGCTTCAGTCATACGAAGTCAAGCTTCGAGACAGCTCAGGTGAGGCAAGCAAGGCAAGTAAAGGCCATCGACCAAGACGTACATAATCGACAAGGACCTGAGGACGTTGAGAGCGCTGGGTGTCAACCAGCTTCGAGCGACCGAATGCGACGGCAACGCGTCGCCATGTAGATCTCGAATTTGATGGTTCGCATTGAGTGACTGAGGGTTCGAAACGAAAGCCGACGGGCCCAGCGCAGCAAGATGTTGTAGGCAGGCGGTCAGGCACCCGATGATAGCATGACCCTGTTAAGAAAACATTGGAACACGGATAGCCAACTTCGTGTCTTATGATTGGCTACCCAAGACAGCAAAACAATATCCCACGAAATGATGGCCTGTATCAGGAGCCCAGCCGAAGTTGATGCAATCGGGCTGCCGTTCCTTTCATATCGACCTGACGGTTCAAATCCAACTCAAATCATCAGCGCGAGCCACTCTAATTGAGTCTCTGGCAGCGGCGCATTCTGAGTCAACAGGCGAGTCTGATGACCGTCAAGAACGTGCCCGTCGACCAGGACTGGCGCATGGCGCAATCAAAGTCTCATGGAGGCCCGCAAAGCACGAAGGGCAGCTGTCAATGTCACCGCTTCGTCTCCGGTCGGGCTGCCAGGTCGGTCAGTGATGCCGAATGACAAGTGACAAGGACTGTTGACCATCGAAAGACAGACAGAGCCCCATTTTGCCCGACTGTCCAGCCGATCCCCGGCAGCCGGGAGTTGGGCAACGGTCAACCGTGTCAGCCGCTGCTGCAAGCCCACGTTGTCTCTTCTGCTTGGTGCTGAAGAAAAGGACAGCCACACAGGCCATCGATATCGCCATGGGCATCAATCCTAGGGCTGACTTGCACCAGATATCCGGCCTGTTGTTTACGGTTGTCCCCGGAAACGAGGACGCGGTTACTGGCCGCTACTCGCGACCTGCCAGCGACTTGCATGACGGACGTCTGCACGGGGAATTGGTTTGCTGTGTGTGCAGAGTAGCTGTGTCCCATCCAATCCTCTTGGGGAGCCAGCCTAAGATGCAGATGGACCCATGCATCCCGTCCCATTGTGATCCCATCCCGGCAGGCGGCTTCCCCCAAATCCCCCATTCCCACTGGACAGATTGACATGTTGCTTTAGGCGTTGAGACAGTTGAGCGGTCCCCCCCATGCATGGGGTCCAGGGTCCTCTCTCTTGGTTGATGCGGCGACGACAAGGACAACAAGATGCCGCGGTGACGCAGGGACACACGTCGTCTTCGCAGACTCTTGTTGGTCTGGAGACTTTGGAAATGGAGCCTGAAGACTGGGACCTGGGCCCGTGGGAGCGGGCACACCAATAGCACTCGTCATCAGCGCGACTGGAAACGAGAGACGCGTCGAATGATGGCTCCGGACAGCGGAAGCTTTCAGTGCGGCCCCCTTTGGGACGAGTCTTGTAAACTCTGAAGTGCAAGTGCGGTGCAGAGACCCGGCGCAACCGCAGCGCAGCCGCGCCACTTGGTTACGCGCACACATGGGATGCTGCAGCAACCCGAAACTCGAACTGGCTCCTTGGAAGCTGGACGAGTCGTGTAGTTGCGAAGTAGGCAGTAGTGTCGTGGCAGTGGATCATGGAATTGAAGTGAGGTGGTACGGATGAGCGTTGCCGATGGCTCATCTTGAACGCGATGCCATGCGATGCGAGTTGATGCGGCTCCCCGAGCGCTTCGTACGTAGGGGAGAAGTGTATATTGCATTTCATCTCGCTGCGATTGCAAGTAGCGGAGTCTTTATCAAACGCTACCAACGCGAGCCATCGAGAAAAAAAAAAAATATAAAAAACCAAATCTGTGGTATTTGGTGTCGACGGCTAATGGCAGAGGGTTGACCTTGGACAAGCGGAGCGGAAATGATTGTTTGCTTGTCTCTGTGGAGAAATTCAAGATCCCTGGCCGTTTTGTTTTTGGAGTCTTGAACCCCTCTCTCAACTCTGAAGTCCCCAATGGCGGGAGGGAATAAAGGCGATTTGACGGCGCCCGCATGAGGACTTTTCTCCCTTCCCCTCTTGAATGATTAGTCGGTGCGATGGGATGGATCATATTTGATGGGCGTGGTGAGATGGGACGAGATGGATGGAGCGAGGTAGGGAAGGATGGATTGAATTTGATACCCGCCCGCTCCATAAGATTTGCCTCATTTTGGGAGGTTATTTAGCGGCCAGGGAAACAATGATCACTACGAGAGGGGGCGAGAGGGGGCAGCAGCACGCTATTTGGCGGGTTCCATCTTCCATTTGCTCACACCGCCCAAGCTGCGATTTCCGTGAGGTAGGTGCCACCTGGGAACCCGTAGGTTGGTGGGAAGGAAGTTGAAGTCGGTAAGGCACCGTGGGCACCTGCGGAGTCCCTTTTTCTGCTAGCGCAGACCAGAGAAGGAGGAGCTCGTGCAAGGAACGAACGGGTATCCCTGTTGAACGGGAACCCGACCTCCCTTTCTCAAAATCAAAATGCGAGTTTTTGGACGGGGCCCAGCGAGTGAGCGGGCGGACGGCGGGCGGGCACTGGCACCGACCACCACCACTACGGGCACTGGGCAGTCCAGTCCAGTGTCCACCCACCCTCACCACCGCTATTTCGCCGCGCTACTGCCATCATCACCCGCCGCCGCCTTTTTATTTTTTTCTATTTTGCAGCGAGTTTTTCCTAGGTCCTCCCCCCAATCCCGTCCCTTTCCCCGCCCATTTCAATGTTTCCCCCCCGGTGAACTGCGTTCGCCCACCAAGCCCGGCCTCCATGTCTCTGGCCTGCAGCTGCAGCGTGTAGCGTGCTCAAGGGACCTGACCTTGTCTGCCTCCCGTCTTGTAGCTTACCACTGTAAATGAGGGAAGAGATACTTCCCGGGTGAATCATCCTAAGGCATGTAGGTTTGCTTCGGCCTCGTACCTTACTTTCCGGGCCTTAGGTAGATCCTCACAACAGAGTCAGGGACCTGACCTCCATCGCCTGGGCCAACCTGCAGTCTGAGGGAATGATTGGGAGAGTGGATGTCTGGTCTCTGTCCTCCTCACCTCTGTGTTTGTAGGTAGACAGTCCGGTCACCTGCCATCGTCTTCGACGGCACTGGAGAGGAACAAAAGGCAAAGCAAAAGAGGTCAGGGACACAGACGTACGTAGGAAGGAAGGTATCCATCCGTAGGTACCTGCGCCTGCACTTCAGTTAGATACCACGCTGCACCTGTACCGCTTTCTCGCTCCCGGCATCCATCCATCCAACTTGCACCAGTCCAGTCTCTTCCTCCACCCGCACTCACTGCACGCTTCTGATTCGCATCTACGCACCTCTGGACGGGGGTGAGGAACCGAGAAAGAGGCTCCAGTCTGCTCCAGTGCTCCAGTCCAGCGCTCCACCACCCTGGTCGTGACCACTGACCTGCCTGCCACTGACAAGCGGCGACGGGCCCTTCTTTTTCGACAAAAACAACCACCAGACCAGTCCACTCCAGGACCAGTCCCGACCAGACCAGTCGTCGTCGTCTCGTCTCGTCTCGTCTCCTTCAGGACTGCACCGGTTCACACTCCAACCTCACTCCAACCTGCCCCCGACGGCTTGGTGGTAATCCCGACCGCGCCCGCCTGCCTCTCCTTTCCACAACATCCCGTCGACTTCGAAATCTTCAATCACGTCTATTTTCCCCGTCGACGAATCGCCGCCACATCCCATCGACCGTACCGCCCTGCCCACTGTTGTTCCCCGGAATGAGGTAGCATCATCAATGCTCTCAGCTCCCTGACCGGACTGAGGTTGCCCGCTCGCGAAATCGCACCGCGCCCTCGACTCAACATTCGCCGACTCCCTAATCTCGCCACATCTCGCCTCGTCGGCTTCTCTACTCACGCCTTCACGTCCAACGCTCGCATGACCTGCGCGCTGGCCGTTGCACTGAGTACACATGATAAGGGAGCATAGAGTACCTGCTGGCCCGCGACCGGCGAACCAGTCCCCGACAAGACTGTATGGAATGCCCTCATCTTTCGTTTCCCGCTCTTCTTTTTTTTACCCTGTCCCGCCCCCCTTACCCGCTCTTTGTTGCTGCTGTGCCCTGCATCCCTGAAGAAACCAATGTGCTAATCCGCCAAAAACTTGCAGTAATAGGGGCATCCCGGACTCGAGAACCATCTCTCCCTCAAAGGGCTCGCTCGCAGACGGTCCAATGCTCAGTGCATCTTCGGCCAACAACCACTCTCTGTTTTCATTCGGTCGGAATGGCGCCGCGAATGAAGTAGGAGAGGCGACTAATTCATTCGACTTTCTGCCCTCGGTCAGCTTCGACGACCTTCAAAGCAGCCTTGAGTCCGCATCCCACGATTTCAAATTGACCCAGTTCCCGTCCCCGACCGGTCAAGGCAGCATTCTAGAGACTCAGAGCATGACCGACAAAATGGGCGGGGTTTCCAATACGACCCAGAATGGCGGAGCCGCGCGTGCTGGTGGTATTCCTCAGACCGCGACCCGCCCTGGTAGATCTGGTTCTATTCTGAGGAGACCTAGTACCTCCAACAGACAGGCCAGCATTTCATCCATCGCCTCAGGACCAACGTCCGGCACTGATTCTGCGACTGGGTCTTCAGCCACGAGACCCCGACGTCAGAGTCATTACCCTCCAGTGTCAAACACCAATATCACCAATATTGCGAAGCCTCCCAGGAAATCCATCGGTCCGGGTCCCATTGAAACGGACTTCGGCAGTCGCACTGCGCAAAGGAGTAGGAGACCGAGCATCATAGGCAACGCTGGTGGTGGACCCGATTCCACTCGGACCTCGATCGATGGCAGCTCCGGCGCTGGTTTTGAGACTCCGCGAAACCTCACGAACAGAGCGACCAAAGCTAAATCGATGCACCAAGCACTACCCCGGACAAGCACCACAAATCTCTCGACCCCCGACAGCAGTCGTCTTTCCACGATATCTCCTCGATCACCTCGAGGTGGAAGCAAGGGAAACACTGGCAGCGGCGGCGGCGGTTCTGCCCATTCGCAGTCGAGAAGACAGTCAGTAATGCCCGGAGGAGGGTCCCACGCATCGCATGCAAGCGGTCTCGGTGCCAGGACCATCAGTCCGACCGACACGCGACGAATGAAGCGCATGTCCATGCACCACGTCCCGAGTCTCACCCAGCTGGCCAACGCGCCGCCTCCCCCGCCGCTTGAGCACCGAGAACACTCCAGATCCCCATCGATGATACCCCGAAAGGCATCCGCTACGCCATCGTCATCTCGAACAACTCCCGACATGCACAGGAAATCGTACAGTTCGGGCTTGTCCATCACCTCGACCAACAGCTTTAATACCATCAGAACCTCAACCGGCTCATCAATCCAGCCACGGGCACCCGCCGCGGGAAGTGCGTCGCGTCTGCCAGCCCCCAAGCAATTTACCCCACATAACCATAACTCCCATTCCGCTGATGACGAGGAGGACGTTCCGCCCGTGCCTGCTATTCCGAAAGCGTACGAATCACCACAGCAGTCAGCCACAGAAGGGTCGTTTTTGGACAAGCGGAAAGCCAATCTTGCTGCGGATGCTAGCAGCATCAATAGTAACTCCACTGGCAGTTTCTCCATCCCGTCGCTCCCTGAACCCGCTGTCAAGCTGGTACGAAAGCCCAGCACCCGGAAGTCGACGAATGCAGCAGCCCTGGACGCCGAAAAGAAAGGCAATCCGTCTCAATCGAGAAAGAACCCTCCTCCTGTGCGGCTGCCCCCAATTACTGTTGGGCCGCTGAACCCATCCACGACCGCCAAGATCGCAGCGTTGGGTCAAAATGGTCCCGACAGGAACTTAAGCCCGCCACCGTCGCGTATTACCGCGAAGACGCCCACCACCCCCATGACCGCGTCTAAGAGCTCCTTCTTCTCTAGGAACCGACAAGACGATAAGTCGGACTTCAGTCTGCGAAGCAGCAGTACTGTCCACCACGCACGTCTCGACAGTGCATCTGGCGCTGATGGTACAAGCTCATCCGAGTCATTCGAGGCCTTGTCCAGAAAGCCAACCAACAAGCCCAGCGTGTCCCCGTTCTTGTCTTCTTCAGTACCCAAGGGAGGCCCCGACCCCGCGTTCCTGAAGAGGTCCAAGACGGGCGGCGACTTAACCAACATCACTGGGCCTCTTGACGTGAAGCCCATTCAAAAGCCGTCTGGCCCGCGTGCTCCCCGACCTTCCAAGGCAATCTCGCCAACACCTCCAGCGTCCGATCCAGAGGAGCCCCCTACGCCATCGTCAATGAGCTCGCTGCGTAGAAAGCTGAGCTTGTCGTGGAAGCGTGGAAAGAACGACTCGAAATCTGCACAGGACAAAACGTTAGAGCGCAGCCTTAGTAAGGAACAGATGCCTCCGCCGCGCTTGCCCATCTCCGCCACGGTCTCGAACCTCAGCTCGGCAAAGAACAGCCCAAGTCCGTCTGTCAAGGTTAACACATCTTACCTGGATTCGAGAAGGAGGAAGAGCTCGGCGGCAAGCTTGGGCCACGATAGGACTAAGAGCGAGAATTGGACCTCGGCTTCCGTTCCCAAGGCTCACCCCGAATCATCTCACCCTCACAACCCCTCTGTCATGCAGAAGATTCTTCGACCGAAGGCGTCAGCGACGGCGATTCGCCAGGCAGACCCGTGGACCGCAGATCTCGACAAGGACGACCTCGTTGCCGAGGAGGAGATGAAGAAGATGGGCGCTAGAAGAAAAGAGACCGAGATTGCGGCTCGAACTCTTGACGCCCTGAGGAAACGCGCAACGCCAAAGGAGCGAGTGGGTGCCCAGGAAGCCATCCGGATTGCGATGCTCAACATCTACGAGCGCGGCGAAATTGTTGACTACAACGACATTTACTTCTGCGGAACGCAAAACGCTCGCAAGGTGGTTGGTGATCTCCAGTCCGACGCGCCGAACTTCGGCTACGACGACGAGCGTGGAGACTACACCATCGTACCTGGCGACCATCTCGCTTACCGTTATGAGATTATCGATGTACTGGGAAAGGGAAGTTTTGGCCAGGTTGTCCGGTGCATTGATCACAAGACAGGCGTGCTTGTTGCCGTCAAGATCATTCGCAACAAGAAGAGATTCCACCAGCAAGCTCTTGTCGAAGTTAACATTCTGCAAAAGCTTCGCGAATGGGTAAGACTCAAAGTGTTCGGCCCAGCTTCTCCAACTGACAATAAAACAGGATCCCAAGAACAGGCACAGCATGGTCAACTTTACCCACAGCTTCTACTTCAGAGGACATCTCTGCATCTCTACCGAGCTTCTGGATATGAACCTTTACGAGTTCATTAAGGCGAATGCGTTCCGAGGATTTTCGTTGAAGCTCATTCGCAGGTTCACCAAGCAGATGCTCAGCTCGTTGAACCTTCTCAAGCAGCACAAGGTTATTCACTGCGATCTCAAGCCAGAGAACATTCTGTTGCGTCATCCTCTGCACTCAGAGATCAAGGTCATCGATTTTGGTTCTAGCTGTTTCGAGAACGAGAAGGTGTACACGTACATTCAGTCGCGTTTCTATCGATCCCCCGAGGTCATCTTGGGCATGACATATGGCATGCCCATCGACATGTGGAGTTTGGGATGTATCCTGGCCGAGCTGTACACTGGAGTGCCCATCTTCCCTGGTGAGAATGAGCAGGAACAGCTTGCTTGTATCATGGAAGTGTTTGGCCCGCCAGAGAAGCACCTGATTGAGAAGAGCACGCGCAAGAAGCTGTTTTTCGATTCAATGGGCAAACCACGCCTCACGGTTTCATCCAAGGGGCGAAGACGCCGTCCTTCTTCCAAGACCCTCCAGCAGGTTCTTAAGTGTGATGACGAGGCATTCCTCGACTTCCTCGCCAGATGTCTGCGATGGGATCCGGACAGGCGTCTGAAGCCGGAGGAGGCCATTCATCACGAGTTCATCAGCGGCAAGAAGATGAGCGCCCCTCTTCCGCGCATCCCCACGACCCGCGAGGCGTCCCCGGCGAAGCGTCACACCACGGCTGCGGCACCGCGCCCACTCCCCGAACCCCCCGCCGCTGGTTTCAAGAGCAACCCTGGATCGAGGCACGTCAGCGGGGCAAGCCCTCACAAGCCCGTATCGGGGCCGCCGACCTCGCGCAGACCCTCGGTCGCAACCGCCGGAACCGTACATGTTGCCACAGCCAAGCGCACCAGCACCGGGACAGGCGGCATCACCGTCGGAACCAGTAACCTACCTCGCGCGGCGATGAGGAGTGTGAGCGCCAAACAGGACCTTGCATCTGCCGGAGCGACCGCGGCCATGAGTCGGCGACAAGTGTAGGGGAGGCATGCCGGCCGGCCAGGATTGGCAAGATAAAGAGAGCCAGACGGATCAAGCATTTACAGGCGAGGTGGTTTACGAATCATTGGGTAGTTGATTGCTTTTGTTTTTTATTCCCTCCTAACGCTACATCCCTAACGGGCAGTGAACATGTTCCTGCGCCATGACCACGTTTGAATGGAGTGACGGAATACCCAGCACGAAGAGTCACAGCCGGCAGGAAAGGAGTCAAATTTGGGGCATGGCGGGGCAGTTTTCTTCATGATGAGCGAGCAGTCCGGGTGGTGGTTGTGTTGGGTGTCATGTCGGATCGGATGACCAAGACACAGACACACCCTTGTTCTTTTTTGTTACTCAAAACCGCATTTTCTTTTCTTATCGTAGCCTTCTTCTACCCTAGCTATATACAGACAGACACGAGTCTAAAGCCCCCTTTCCGCGGACAACCACCAGCAGAGAAGGGGCCCCAATGTACGTTTGGTGGATGGGATGGAGGAGCGAGAACCCGTTAAAGGACGGGAGTGGCCGAAGAGGCACGGGCCGCTGTTTGCCCGTCCGTCATTTTGCAAGGATAAAACGAGAACGAAGGCAAGAGATGTGTATATTAATAATGACGAATGGCCTTGGAATGAGTGAAATGCAGACCGGACTGGGGCAGGCATGTTTGTGTGTTTCGATGTTCATGTGTGACTCTAGCGGCTTGGGCGGTGGTAAGAGAAGACCGAAGATGCATGCTGCTGCCGGCTACGACCTCGCAATCACGGTAGATGCGAAGCAGTAGAACGGGGGTTGGGCAGGAGAAGGGACGAGGTAGCGGCTCACACTTACGTCCACGCGTGTCTAAGGCGAAGAAGGGTCAAAAAGTTGCGATGCTTTTCGGGTTGGCTGTGTTCTCTCTCCTTCACTCCATCTAGAACCTCCTGAGCTCTGTTGCCTGCGGCATATCGGGGTCGAGACACGGGCTGAGAGGCGAAAAAGTAGAAGGCAAGGCAGACGACGAATCGTCAGTAGAAGGCGGGACGCGGACTGGGAAAGCAGGATGCCTTTGGGGCCGCAAAAATGCCCTTCTTAAGATGCTGTGATGGTGTGTGCCTGTTGAGATTGCGAGGTTTTGTTGTTTCTGGCCCTCGTTCCTTCCCAGGCAACGATTTTGATCTCGAGAAAAGGTATGGTATGGGATTGTATGCGGCGAGAGGCAGAAGGAAAGGGAAAGGATTCCAAAGCAAGGCCGGCTACGAACGGTTGGTTCTGTGTCGTTCGAGGCCTCCCTTTCGGACGGGCCACGCCCCCCTGGTCAGCATTTGGGGGCCGAAGGACGAAGATGAGGCGTCACTTTTTTTCTTTTTTTCGAGGGTCGCTCGCTACGTACCGTACCGTTCTTGTGAAGGGGGTGGTTTTGGTGATGTGATGTTTGGGGGTACACGTCCCAGATGGGAGAACGGTGGTCATACAATGGCTGGTGGTGAGCCTTGTAGGGCTGGGGAGGAGGGTGTGTCTGGTCACCTCAGGGAGAATGGAAGGGTGATACGAAGCGCGACCGAGTCCCCGGGGTCACGGCAGATGGGCCTCCAGGCTCCAAGTGCCGGGATTCCCTCCCATTTCTTGTTAATGTGGTTGTATCTCTCGGTGTCCGTTTGAAGCCTTTCTATGAGAGGAGCTCCGGTCGAGGCGAAGGGGTTGGATGAACCCCTGTTCCCGGGACGGACGGTTCTGTCAATGGGGCGGCGACTGTCGATGATTGAAGAATTTTTTTTTCTTCTTCCGTTCTTTTACTTTTGGGTTTCCTCATCTGGACGAACACGATGAGGCTGAATGCTGGGAAAGGCCTCCGGTGACGATCCTCACCGAGAGCAGAATGACGGTGTCTACATTTAGCAGGAGGAAAAGCAAAAAAGAGGGCATCACGAAAAAGCTTCCGGGCCACGGGCCACCGGGGCCGGGGTCATCCGCAGGCCTCCGGAGGAAAACTCCGTCCCGGAGAAGAAAAGATGCGGGGAGAGTATCCGTAGAGCTAGAAATAGAAAAAGAAGCTATCGTGAAAGAACAGACCATCACCAGAAAAGCAGGGTCTTTGTTCCCTGAAACATCGCGCTACCCCTTCCCTCCCTCCCCTGCCCATGTTCGACCGTTTGCCGTGAGAAACGCGCTATCGCGGGTCATGACACAATCCCCTGTCCTATTTTCCTCGTCAAGTGGGAAATAAAGTGTCGATCACAGTGTAAGCTGAATGAGCAAAGCGCCCCCCCGTGAAAGGTGGAGCGAGTCCAAGCGCTTGTTGGTATGCATGCCTTATGGATATTTTGACGGGATAATCAGTAAACACTAAATCAGAGTTTTGGCCTTGCATTGAGACTTGAGAGCATGGGAGGAAGATATTCTGAATGTGAAAGGCTGTCACAAGCCGTGGCAACGGCCTTCCTGACGGATTATGTGACGTTGGGGGCGACCAGGTTCATCGGTAGCACCGGGAAGGATGCGAGGGACGTTTTCCACGGCGGCAAGGCGGCTGTTGTCAGACGCTCCCAAGGTGTGCGCGTGCAAAGGTGGACAGGCCGAAGTGCAAAATATGCCTTGTAGGATTCAATGTCTGCCGAGGTGGTTGTTCATTGTCCTTAGGCCATCTGGCGCGATGGATCCGCGCGGATGTCATGATCTGCACGTAGGGCGAAAGGCTTGACAGCTTTTCGACTCAGAACCAAAAAAGATCGGCCGAGGAGGGCCAGCGGCTGTTCTCTGAAACAGGGTCTCTCGATCGAAGGGGATCACCATACCCAGAGGTAAGGTTCGTAAGGCCGCTTGATAGACGCCGAGCGGGCCTTTTGACATGCAGGTTTGCCAGAGCTGAAGACATGGTCTGGGTCGGTCAAGGGCTCAAGGATCAAAAAGACCAGTCGAGACCACGTTGAGCCTCAGATTTGCCACCGGCATGCCGTGTTTCAGAAGAACGTTGAAGACGAACAGGTCAGGTATGCTCCGCTGCGGGTGCCTGGTCTGCTACGATCATACGAACTTCAATGGTAGAACGAGAGGCGCGGGAGGGGCGCGCCCCCAGATGGCTCCCCTCACACGCCGTAGTCATGGGAATGCGGCCGCGGGAGGAGGCCAACGGCGGAGCTGAAGCATGGGGGGTCGAAGTGAAGACAATTTGAGGCACGGTTCGGGGAGTTTTCTTCTCCCTTCATGACGAGGGGGCCTGTTCAGGTTGGACAGGACATTTGTGGATGCAGAGGTCGCACGGTCAGCATGGAAGGAAGCAGAGTCAAGTCGAGGGAACCGTTGAACGGCAGCATCGGCCGAGTACGGATTTGGAAGCGGGGCGTGGCTGGGGAGCCTAGGCCAAGCCTTGACTGTGGTTCAGCACCTGTAGACACTAGCCGCAATAGGCGTCAAGTTTCAACAACAGCGGGCGGCTCTGGGATGCGATCAAGGTACCAGGGACTTGGGAGATAGGGCAGGGGAGGGGTGAAGCTCTCTTACCTCTGAAATCACGGTGTAGGGTATGACGCGGGATTGCAGAGATGACGGACGCTGCTCCGTAGCTTGTGAGAGCGGCTATCACGGCCGGGGTTCTCGTTGAAAGCGTATTTTGGTAAGGCATCTAATGACGGCGACGACGGACGCGATGGGCAAGTGACGGGGCAACTCGTAAGATGAAGACGTAGACTGCATAGTATGGCGCATAGGCGTGTTTGCTGTGGATGGTGCGCGGAGGGACTTTTGCCCGACAGGCAGGCATCCGAGGACGCGAATGTCTCATTGAGCTTCGCGATAAGATCAATTAGAAGCAATGACGCTGGCAGCAGTCGGGAGTCGAGTGCAGCATAGAATAGCGGTATGGCGGCAGTTGCATACGTAGTGTAGGAAGTGTGGAAATGTCGAGCAGCAGGCCCACCCAAGACCGACGGCGACTCCGGCCAAGACATGGTGAGCATGTCGGGGTGACGGCGTTGAGCGGTGGATAAAAGTGGACCTAGGACTCTTGATCCCACCGCGATGGGAGAAGGCCCTGGCCGCACTGCTGGCCTCAGGATCCGTGATGTGGTTCAGTCCCCGTGGCTTGCTGACTCCCGAGGCTGTGCTGGAGCTAACAAGACAGGGGCCTGGCCATCATCCACTGCAATCGACGGCCAGTTTCGACGGGGAGAAGGTGAGATGGAGGAATTCGTCCAGTAGTAATTCGAGAAAGTCGCTGTGCTTCGCTCGTTATCCAATCGCTTGCGCTCCCTGTGAGACAGCAGACCCTTGCTCCCAGCGACAATCCCCCGCAAAGTGATGTATGTTGAAATGAATGAGGCGGATTGAGTCCCTTTTGCAGCGACTAGAGCAGGATGGAGTCAATGATTGTGCATACTGATGATTCGATTCTTGGTTTCGAGTGTGTGACTGCGTATCCGTAGCTCGGCGGTTCAGGTCTCGCGTCCTGCAGGTAGTTGACGACAGTCGAGACAAGCGTCATGCAGGTCCGGGCTTGGAGGAGGTTGACATTGGCTGTGTTTCTGTCTTCTGCGTGTGCGGAGGATGGTGTATAGTACCCATGGTAAAGCTTCTGGGATAGTTCCGCGATTGGATGTTGCGACAGGTGCAGAAGAGGACGAGATGGGAAGCGGAAAAATGGTCATCTTGGCCTTGTCCACACTCTGCCCGCCAGCCCACACGGTTCCGCAGACGGGATGGGGCCGGTGGACAGTCGGAGCCATGGGTACGGGGGACACGTGCGAGTATCGGTCCGTTGTAGTCGGACACCGAGTGCCACGCAACCATTGGCGGTTGCAACACACTGGATTGCCCGTTGGATGCGCGGCAGTTGACGCCTGTGGTCATTTTGCCCGGATTGTGACTCTTTTCCGGGCGTTGTTGTGTCTTGGACGACGTTTGGCCTCGGTGAGTGCAGGCCGCAAAAAGCGTATTGGTGTATTGCTTAGTTCTGAGGGTTGGGGTTACATCGAACACCCAACGTCTGCCGTGTCGTATCTCGGTACCTGTTGGTCCTTGATGCGATCTCTGTAACGCAGGACTCGATGCAGGTCTTGGATCGGGCCCGTTGCCCAAAGCCGGCGAACGGTGAACGGTGGAGGTCTGGCGCTGGTCTTGCAGCAAGCAGACAAGTGCCGTGGGTTGAGTTGAGGGTACTGTGAAGCAGGCTGTGTTGCGCTGGTTCGTCTGTCTGTTGGCTCCTTCCCACCAAGCCGACGGCACCGATCCCTAAGCATGTACGTCCGTGGAGCGGTTGAGTTACCCAAGACGAACGGCTGAAAAGTCGGCAGGACTAGGAAAGCAGTTCATCGGAACTTCTGTTTGCTTGGTTTAAGCGGACCGGACCCAGAGACGATGAAGGTCAACTTCTGCATTGGCGAGGGACAGCCACGATTCGTCAACCACTAGTCCGAGTTCAAAGGTAGTGCAACAGGGGTGAGCTTGACTGTGTGGGCATCAAGGGTCGAGGTTTCAACGAGATTGGGGCAGGAATTCGTAGTGCGCTTTCGTAGCTGGGGGTCGGAAGAAGGCTTGGATTGGGTTGTGACGCATTTTTTCCGGTATCCTCATCGACAAGCCCCCCGACCTACTGCACAAAGGCGACGACGTTGAAATCCTTGGAGAGCCATCCGTGACTGCCATCCGCTCCAGCGGTCTGTCACCTGAACTTCTGGCGGGCGGTGGAGACGACACGTGAGGGCCATGCCTGCGAGATTGACCAGTTACATGCCTTGGCAGGGCGCAAGCTTTCGTAATCAGGAAAGAAGCAACATCCAAACTTGCCCTTTTTGATCAAGCTGCATGGTTGTTCGCCCAGGCATCCCAGGCAGCACACCCTCCCGCGCTCTTTCCCAGCAGCGAGACGACAAAGAGAAAGAGAAAGCTCCCGTCGTCAAGGCAGGAATCAGACAGAGCAGGAACACATCACATCGTACCTACCTGTCTTCTCAGTTGCGTTTTCGTGCCTTCCCAGAACCCTGGGGCCAGGGGTGCTCCATGTCGTGCCCATGCCCATCCATCCCATCCAATCCAATCCACGTCGGTGGATGTCACTTGCACCTTTCTCCAACCTACCCGTCCACCGGCTTTCACTGAGTCCCTACTTCGTACAATGCTCTCAAGGTTGGCTATGTGCAACTTATCCTACCTTGCTCCATCACACATTACCTGAAGTCGCTTCACGCTAGCCAACGCTGCATCTCTGTTGCTGGTACTTTGGCGCTTGACAACCACTTACACCCCCGGTCCGATGCCATTCAGGGACGCTGACTTGCGTCTTGGTGCCTGCTCCAACCGGCAGCCCTCTCATCAGCATCACCAGTTATCTGTCTTGGGTTCCCTCAATCTACCGCGCGTTCTTTGCATGTGCTTGTGACGCCTACCTCTCCCAACCACTTACACGGCAAGCAACATTCGGTGAATTGGTGCAGAGCAATATTGGTGGTGCGGCCCATTCTGTTACTTGCGAACCTGCTCACCCTCCGTACCTGAACGGGGCTCTCAACGAATACCGAAGTCCTGGGCTTGGAGGGAAGGGCCTGTCGATCAAGGTCTCAAACGTGCATTTGCATCGGTCGAATGAAAGCCGACGTCGTCTCAGACCTGCATTGGCCGATTTACGGGGACCTTCGGAGACCGTTGCAACCAAGACATGGTAGGCATTATACCAATTCCCCTGTGCGGGCCCGGGAATACTGACAACTTCGACAGCCCGCGCAAAAGAGCTCGGAGCAGATTACAACACTGAACTCATCTGTCAAATGAAGAGAAAAAAAATGGCCCGTTGTCTCCCCCCGACTGCCCGGACCCGCCGCCCCTAGCATCGCATCGCATCCCGTCGCATCTCAGTCGTCTTACATCTCCAGGGGCCCTTCGACCCGAAAAAAGGCTGTTTCTTACTCTCTCCAGATGCCCGGGTCTCATCTCGATATGGCCTCCAATGACGACATGTTGCTAAGCGCGTTTGATCTGACCATCCTCCCGAGAGTTGGGAAGAGCATGGAATATTCGTCTGCAGAAGCTCCCGGCTGTTCATCAGCACCAGCACCGATCGGGCACGTACTGCGGCCAATGGGCGCCGGAAAGACAGCCACCGGTTCGGTGGAACCCCAATGAGCGTTGATGACCAGCACAGCCCTATCCCTGCACGCTGTACTTCTTAGCCCGGGCTATATGGACAATGTACTTGGGGTGCCAGCCATGGTTGAGGAGCAACAGCCACCTAGCCTCGATGCATGGCTATTCTTTTCCTCTCTTGTCAGCACGAAGTCGAAGCTCCTGTTCGATCTACCATCCCATTTCCCCCGTTGCGGAAAGGTGCCCACGACCGTCAAACGACGACCCTTGGGCTATATTCAGCATTTTTGGATGGGGACATCGACCTCAAATTAGCTTTCCCTGCCTGCCCGCTCTTGGGTGCGGGTTTTGTCCACTGAGAGCTCGAAAAGCGCTCTTGGCAGCTCGTTGATCTGATGGCTTCCCATTGGTGACCCCGGCAGCATTCTTCGCATCTCAGCCCGTCACCGCGGAAGCGTTGTGCAACGACAGCAGAATCCGGTTCCTGGCTCACGGGCCGAGACCCTGTCCTGTCACGCCGCAAGGGGCAAATAATCACCATCCTTCAGTTCTCAGTCCAAGCAGCATAGCTTCCGTTGGTCGACGGGACGAGCTCCGGGGCCTCAAAATTTTGTTCATCCTGCAAGGATCAGGATCAACAAGAGTCCATGCCAATCTTGAAGAATCATTAGCGAAACACCACCACGTTGAGATGGAGGTCTGGCCGTCGCCCCGGGCACTGAGTTGGGTCGACAGGGTTGCTGAGTTGCAGGCTTGGGCATGCTCTATGGAGCAGTTCGCGGGCCTCTGGGCCAGCATACCCTCATTTAGCAATCCAGCCGTGCGCTATCCCTGATTGACTGCAGGCGGGCTGTCGCTCAATTGTGGGCATCGCAGAGAACGCTCTCTGAAAATACAACGATGGTCCAGATGGAGGAGGGGTCACAGATCATCACCAAGGACCTCGGCCAGGGCAAGGCTCAACGAAGGCCACACCTTAATGTTCCTGCCTAGGCTCGATGATCCAAGAACTCAACTTGCGTTCCACGGCTGGTCTCTGGTCTAGGCAGGACGATGGTAGGACTATCAGACATCAGCGATGGCTAATAAGCGCAAGCAAGACAAGACCTGGTGTGTCTTGTTTTGGGGCCATGATGCAGAGTCAGCCCTGCCGTTCAAGACAGAGAGCTATCTTGGGTTGGCACCCTCTCGGCTCTGGCTGCTGATGGGTGTCGAAGCCGGTGCAACCAGCCGATAATAGACACTCGGGCGTTTTGTTTCGTCCTTCAAGCGCACTCAACCGCGGCACGACGACACAGCAGCGGCAGTACCTGACAGAAGTCAGGACTAAGATATGCAACGGCATGGCAAGTCGGTATGACAGCCGCGGCTGCGCTGCTACTTCTGCCCTAAGAATGGTACCAGAGATGATGGTCGATGCATATCAGCATGCGGCATCGACCTTGGAATCTTTTAAGGCACAGGGAAGAGGGCCAATGGAAGGGACCTGACGATATCGTACAACCATCCACCCATGGCATGGCATCCTACCGCACATCAGCCCTGCTGCATCTCATCAACCCAAAGTATGGGGACACACTCCCGGCAGTGGTCCATTTTCAGACATCATGTTCAATTGGGGAATGGATGGTGAAAGATGACTCTTTTGGCCGACAGTCTCCATCGCATCCATCCCACACGCATCGAGCAGTAGGTAGGCATGTATGGATGTTACTTACGTTCTGTACCTTACCTACCCTACAGGGCACTTCGCACACCCACACCATCCCGGGCCCTGAACCACACCCACCTTACTGCCCTGCACTTGCACCTGCACCACACTTACCCCCCTCCCCCCAGCCCATTTTCCACAGCCCACACCCTCTCCGCCTGCTCACCTTTCGCTCACTGTTCTGTCTCTTGCGCGCTCTCTGTCTTTCTCTTCTCACACCTGCTGCGCCGCGCCTTACAGGGCCATCGTCGAAGGTGCCTTGCACCTTTTCCTGGTCCTGGCCTGCGCCATCATGTCCGTTGTCTGCATATCGCTCTAATGCACAGAGAGATGCAGCCTTAGTCATTTGGGTCTCACTCAGATGATCCGGCGTGGACTGCCATGGCCCACTGCTGCCTTAGAGCTTTCTCTCTCTCACACACACACTCCATCTTCCACTCGCTCCAAGCTTGTCTCGAGTGTGACGACTCCCCAGGCTACCAGGCCTATAAGGCCGTGATGCCTTCTCGATTCCTTCTCCCTGTCTCTTGCCTGTTTCTGTACAGTCATCACATCACGAGTACGCTCTCTTAGGTTTCCTTTCCTATTTCCTTTTCTGCCTTATTCCCCTTGCTTCTCTGCACACTTGGCAGCTTTCAGTCGCTCTGGTCTCAACACTCTCGATACCCTTTATTAAAGAACGACCGCATCCCACCATACCTTGACAGGAAGGATTCATCCTTGGACATATTCATTCATCCTTCCGAGATCCAATTGATCTATTCATCATATTCAAGAACAACCAGCACACACAAGTCAACCTAGACAATTCTCACAATGTGCTATCAAATCGTTGAGCTCTACTCGGCTTGCCGGTGCCTCTACTACCAGCACGCCATTGACAGATGCGCTTCATATGGACGACCCGGTCACAGCATTCAGAAGCGGACAATCTTGGTGGGCTACGCATGTCACGCCCACACCTCGTCTCATGGCGGCTACGCATCACAATACACCTACTCAGACTCTGGCTACCACTCAAGCCACTCAAGCAGCAGGAGCTCTCGCCAATACCGATGAAATGTCTTGTCTTCGGTGACGGGTTGCTGTTCATGGCGTTCCCCGAAGCTGGAGCTTTTCAAGTTCAGCGATTGGGTTGCCTACCTATACTCTTTCAGAGCGAGGTCGCCATCACAGACGTTGCACCCGTCCCAGCTATCACTCCTCTTGGTCGGCCATGACCGGCTCATGTCGTCTTCAGCGCCCCCGGCGATGAGATGACTAGCCGGCCGATGTCCTTCACAACATCTTCGCTCTCATCATTACTCACCCCAATTCCGCTCTTACGCCCCGCCATGAATTCCAGCAACGAAGTTATCGAAGACAGAGACGAGATCACGAAAACGTTAGACAGACGTTACACGGCCTATTAGTTGTCACCACCCGCGCGCTACAATAAAACGACATCTTCAAACTCGCCCACGTTCCCATTCCGGTCTCGACCCTCGGCTTCTTCGAAATCTTCTCGATATTTTCTTTCTTTCTCCGGATTTTCTTTTTGGATATCATTCACTCCCGACACGGCTGCTTTCTTTATCGGCATTCAGCTTGCATAGCGTTGGCATTGGGTTTTGCATTGGGCGGCTTGGGCGGTTTGAATGGAATGAGAGAGCATACCAGAGATGCTGTTAACTTCTAATCGGCGGGTCCGCCATTGTCTCAGTGGAAGGCAGTTTCTCGTGGCTTTCATATTCTGGTCTGGGACGGTTTCCAACATCGGTCCTACAGGCATACGGCAACGGTTTTTTTGGTTTTTTCTCTCTCTCTTATTTCCTTCTCTTGTCAGCTTCTGTACTCTGAAAGCATTTGGCAGGCGGGCGGGCGGTACAATACCAGGCGTTTTGGGGACCAGGCATATATGGTGGTTTGGAAGGACCAACCGGGTGAGCGAGGCTTTTTTTGTTGTTCTCTATTTTCTTTTTCTGTCAAAGTTTTCCGCATACTCTTGAAAATTCCTTCTCTTCTTCTGACTCTCAATACTTTCTGTCTGTCTATCTCTCTCTATCTCTCTCTTCTCTGATCTGTACCATCATACTATCAAAGACGAGTCGCTCTGGTAAGCGGCGAGGACAGCAATGACGCAGGAATGCATGGAGGGTTTCGGACACAGGAATGCCCGGGAAAAGCTTCTTTGATGCTAGTCATCAAACTCCTTTCGATTCTTTGAGAGGGACTCGAGTCGCATCCTTGCATCTCGTTCGGGGAACAAAACGAGGCCAAAAAAATCCAACTACTGCCACTCCAATTGGTCAGGGACCGGGGGAGTGTTGATGGACGGTATTGGATCGGCAGACGCTAAGTCCCTGCAGGAACAACGAGCTGGACAAGCAAGAGAACAGATTTGGTCAAGGGCCTCTCAAATGGGTCCAGACATGTCTCGTGTGTTTTAACACAATTCGTTTTTTTTTTTCGACAATAGAAAATGTAGTACAATTTACAGCATGCAACCCGCCAGACCACTTGCAATTATCAGATGATCAAGCAATCGCATATATCAGGTAGCAGCAAATCATAGTACACAAGTCGTTGAATACACGCGGGTGGCGAGAAAACAGCCTCAATTGCGGGCGTGAGTCAAATTCCCCACCGTTAGGCAGACTCGCGGCCCGGTAACCAATGAGGTATGACTTCTCCGTGGACGCGGGAGAGAGGGAATAGCGACACGGAATAGGTAGCGTGCCCCTAACCAGCGGCGTGTAGCAGTGGGAATCGCTGGGGGGACTAAACTGCATTGGGAAACATTTTTCGAGCGTAAAAATGGAAGGAACGATGGGGACTGCTTTGGTGAACATGGGCGAATGGCCTCGTTCATTGGGCGATACGGAAGGGGGGAGAGAACTTTAATTCGAGGCTGGCTGGCTGTGGGCATGGCCGGAGAGCGGCTTTTGCGCTGTTCCTTTGCGGCGAGGGGGAAAGACACGGCAGGCAGGCCAGGCAGCACCAATACCCTTTTTGTCTGGGGTTTCTCTTACACGCCATTGGTCGAGGCGACGGCGGCGATGAAGGTGGGATATGGGGGCCGGAACCAGCCTCGTAGGATTCCATGTTTTATTTGGGGTGCGAGCCTCGTGGGTTGTGCCGTCATTGTACGGAGAAAGGTGCATAGCTCGTCGCGCGTATGGCGTGTGTTGAGGGTGGGGTAGCACACTTCTCTTTGCCTGGTAGTTCAAAGTTCTGACCCCTGATTCACCTCTCTCTCTGCCGCGCCGTATTTTTGGGTGTGTACCCTACTGTTGAAAGGGCGTGTATCCGTATGGGTGTGGTCTCCTCTGCGCGCGGCGCGGGAGCTCGGGAGACCTGATACGGAATAAGTTGGCACACGCGGGTATGGTTTATGGGACGTGGTGGGAATTGTTGAAGAATCTGAGACAGATGGCGGTAGGTGGCTCTAGCTTTCTTGCCTTGCACCCTGTCTCTGCATATCCCTACGGTTGGGTCGTCGGGTCTCTCTTACTCTTCCTGGGATGGAGGTCGAAGAAGCAAGTAATTTTGATGGGGTTTTGGCGAGCTAGGGAGGGGAGGGGGAAGAAGAGGCATGTCTTCCCGAGAGCTATGGAGACAGGGATTGCTGTGGTCTGTGAGGAGGGAGCTTACGGGCATGGGGGGAGCAACGATACATGGGGTGATTGATTGAATTGGGGATAAGCACGGATTACCAGACGTCCTTTACTCTTTTCCTCTGCGTTTCGCCTCGGGTCGTCGCGATTGATTGAATTCTGACAGGAGTGGTGGTCTTTTTTCGGCTGGCATGGCACGGGGCGAATGGTGGTCGTTGAATTGTGAACTTTTGATGTTGGTGGGGAAGACACTGAGCACGAGATGCGATGATGAGATGGGATGTTTCTAAGAATAGAACTGTTTTTAGGTGAGGCGGCGGGTGGTGGCCGGGCGGCGGAAGGAGCTTTTTTCGCTTGACGGACGAACAGGGCGTGTGGAGACCGGGGTTGTCACTGGCGTGTGGTGTTCATTTGGAGAAGGGAAAAGCGGGGTTATCGCGGCAGTCTCCCTCTCTCTCAGAGTGTCACATGGAGATGAGCTCGGAGGGTCGGAGGGTGGCGCTTGTACTGGGAATAGGCGAGATAGCGCGGGTTGGCTGTCTCTCTCTCCCGTCCCGCGGAACCTGTCTTGAATAACTAGCGTTGGGGTCTAAAAATGTACACACAGTTTTCGCCGGTAGATGGGCTTGTGGTTGCAGTTTTGTTCATGTACGGGACTTTGTTTCTTTTTTGGTTTCTTTGGTCGTGTGTGCGTGTGTGTGGTTGGGCGTTTGAAGAAAGATGACGATGATTGATGATGGGGGTGGGGGGGGAATAGTGCTGTGCATGAGTGGCATGCATGGCGCTTCTTTTTTGCTGGCGTGCCGGGAGACGGAGGCACCCCGGGGAAACGTGTCAGATGTCAGATACTAGCCCTGGCCGTCGGGGGACAAGGCGATTGTGGGTTTCTGTTTGGGCCGCCGGGTTGCTTTCCCATCAGGATTGAAGAAAGTCCGATGGGGGGCCATTTTTGGCGTTCGGGATGGATGAGTGAGATTCTGCGGCCGGGGGAGGGGGTTGAAGGGGGGGAAGGGGTGACTGCTTGTTGTTTCCATGGGGAAATATCACGGTTCGGTGTGGGAAAGTTTAGGACTCTGAGAGAGGGCAGTTTGGCGCGTTCTGCTATTGTGGAGGGTTGGGTGAGAATCTCATTGCAGAGACGGACCGCAGCAAAGACAAGCCCAGTGCGAGTGTTTCTTTTTGGGTTTGGAGCACAGCCCGACACGGTATTAGTGGATTAGACGACGGACGCGGGAAGGCGCAGGCAAGCGCAGCAAGCGCAAGCGCGGCGTCTGTCGCGCGGGTGTAGTACGATTAGGTAAGTTAGGGTGGGCGTGGTCATGATCTGAGCAGCCAGCGTAGCCGGGCTTAACGCTAGGGCTTTGCGCAGCCCAAGTATGTCAGGTGCATCATGTGCGTCTGTGGTTGAGTGTCTCTTGGCTGCTGTGCTTTCCTGTGTCACCACCTAATTGACCTATGTTTTGGAATGGGGGAGAGGGGGCGTGCATCTACAGAATGCGGCTGCTGCAACAGCATCGTAATTTGAGCATCGACAGGCCAGGTCCATGTAACACGAAGCTGTCAAGGTTGAAGATGAGATGAAAGCCAACCGGGGGTTGCTTTGCAGATTCCAGGATTGGAGCGAGGTGGGATTGACCAGGCTCGAGGTAAATTCGTGAATTTGGGGAATTGTTTGCACTATTTTGCGCTGCAAAATGTACGTATGTATCCCCCAAAAAGCAAAGCCTCGGAATGCATCTTCGTAGATCATCAAAATGTTGTCAAGCTGTGAAACTAGCGGGAAAAGACACACATGTTGCAAGCCCCGGGTTTATTTTCTGCCCAACGCTAAAAGTCCCCCCTCATCCTTGTCTAGCTGTGAATGTGACGATTGAATGATGCGCTTTTCACAGGGGCCCCGGGGGACCAATTTTACGTAGGCGAAGCAGAATAAGCACACAATACGTAGGTAGCTGAGAAGCCATGTCTTGGGAGATGGGATGAGGGGACCTACGATTCCGGTTGGTGGGTTTGGCATGGTTTCTTTTTCATCTTCCTGTCGCTGCCCGTCTGGCGGTGGGTTAGGTAGCCAAGGTCAGCTCTTTGCTCGCCAGAGGATTCTCGGTAACACGGCTGCAGATTACGGGCTGATCCCTGAGCAGTCGGGGAGTGCACTGAGTGAAAGGCAATCACATCAGACGTTTAGACATCAAAGACAGGACCAAGGCGGTCTTGGGGCCTGGGGGTGGTTCCCGAGCATCGTGACGGGAAGGATGAAGTTCGGTTCGGCTGCGGTTTTGGCGGGCCATCGTTGACGGCCGGGGTGGGGGTTCCGTTAGGCCCCGGAGCCAAGCTCCAAGTAACGAGCCAACCCCATCGGGTCATATGCTAACGCGAGGGGGCGGCGAAGGCGAGAAGGCAGCAAGACACGATCATATCACGAAACCTTGCCCGGCTGAATGAATATGCCATTGCAAGCAAACAAACAGGTTGCTGAAGCACAAGGAATGGTTCCCGGGATCGTGTTGCGCGGGAGGGCGGCACGGGAGGGGACGCGAGAATCCTCTCGGGCAGAATCGATGTTTGGCCTCATTCTGGGGGGTTTGGCTTGTTTTTGTTTGCTTGCACCCCGTATCCGAGATTCCAGATCCCCCGTCAATCAACCTCACGGTCGGTTCTGCCTGG